GATTGAACGTCGCCGCGGACCACACCGACCCCATTGGGGGTAGAGAATTTCATGCATAGGTGAGGCATTGAAATTATCCCACTGATCTTCATGATTGCGGGTCGGCCCAAAATAATGTTGTGGACACAATGGAGGTTGACCACAACGAATTCTAGCTCCGTCTTGATCGACTTTGGAGATGTGCCGATCTCAACTGGGAGCATTATTTTTCCTTCGGGGTAAATGAGCGCCCCGGTAAATCCCGACAGTGATACACTGACCGGAGTCAGCTCCTTCCTGTCAAGTCCAAGCTTTTCAAACACGTCCAAATAAAGGACGTTCACACTGCTGCCAGTGTCCACCATAACCCTCTGGACATCCGTCCCTTTGACATCAATCGTGACCACGAGCGCCTCCATACCGTGGTCACCGCTACTGGGTTGATCTTCGAGGGTGAAGGTTATGGGCTCCATCTTTTGCCTCTTCCCAGTGTCCCGGGAATCTACAATGGCGACCGGGCAATTGCCCCTCGACCGGGAAGCATCGTCAATCCACAAAAAATAACGTGGATGGTCGGCTGCTAGATGGAGGGTCAGGGTCCCGTCGGTCATCACGACGATCGTCTCTTCGGTCCTGACCTGACCGATCGGAGCGTCCCTCACGATCATAGCGATCGGAACGGTGATGAGAGCGCAAGTGATCTCTCTGATCGGTATTCTTCTTCGTGTCTTCTCTCTATCCCACACACTTGTCCAACATTCCAAGATTGAGCAAATCCTCTAACAGCTGTCGCAAGTGGGTACACTCTTCAGTGTCATGCCCGGCACATCGATGGTAAGCACAGTGCTTACTCTTGTCAGGGCCGTCTCGATTGGGATGTGGGAGTTTGATGAGATTGCAGGACTGAGCGTACTGCATGGCCTCCGCTGCGGATCGGTTCAGGACCGTAAACTCACCAGGCCTGGTGCGAGATCGGGGATGATCATCTCCCGATCGGTGTTCCGCCCGGTCGGTCGGTTTACGGGACGAAGATCCGACCTCCTGCGAGCGCTTTACGGCGTTCGCCTAGCCGGCGTTGGCATAATCTGTGACCCTTCGAAGGGCCTCCTCATACGTGGCCGGGGGGTGTAGAATGAAGTCTTGATACAAATAACCCGCCCGGAGGGAAATGTGGAGCATGTGGGTGGCGGTCGCGTCATCCATGGGCTCGACCTCCCCGATCGCTGCTTTTCATTTGACGAGAAAATCGGTCAAGCTTTCCCCTTCAAGCTGCTTGGCCTTCTCCAAGTACATGTAGGACTTCCTCACCACCTTGGAGGTGATGAATTTCCTCACGAATTTGATTGCCAGGGTGTTAAAATCAGCAATTGAGCCCGGCTGCAAAGTTCGGAACCATTTCGCTGCCCGACCGGTGAGCGTGGAATAGAAAGCCCTGCACATCACGACGTTTGATACGCCCTTCAACATCATGTTGCCGTATAAATCATTGACATGGACCTCAGGGTCCGTACGACCATCGTAACTTTTCTCACCGGAGACCTTAAAGTCGAGCGGGTAGGGTTGAGCTATTACCTCCGCAGTGAAAGGCGTCCTTAACAAAGAGGACTGGTCGACCGGGGTACCACAGGGTGCGCATTCCTGAACTGCGCAAACTCCGCCGGGAGGTTATAGAGCAATCCTGTGGTCTCGTTGAGCTCGGCTGTCTTGGTAGCTTGGGCTGACTCCCGAGCGCGTCGTCAACGGTGAGATCTCGACCCGCTATGCCCGGATGAAGTCTCCTGGCTAGCTTCCTGCATCTGTACATCTTCCGGTTGTCGGTTTGGGTCTTGGGGCCCCAAACGTTGTTGTATCGCCGGTCGAAGACGGTCAAAAGCTACCGCTCGGGCAGCTTCTTCGGGGTCGTCCGCTCGGGCTGGAGCCTCCGGTGCTTGCTGGGCCTGCCGTGGTGCCTCCATCGTATCAGTACCCCCGACTCCAACCGCGAACGAGTCGAGAGTCGAGCCCGGGAAGTGGGCTGATGCTGCGGCTCTACATGTGCGGCCGGGTAAAATGGAGGGGCGGCGGCTGGAGCCGTGTACGCAGGCGTGAATGGTGGATAGCCAACCGGTGGTGTGTAGTAGATCGGTTGGCGGGGCCAATACCCGTACGATTGAGGTGGGACCGGGTATGGATACTGGCTGGGATACGGCATGTGCTGTTGCTGGTACTGCGGTTGAATGTAGTTCACCGGCTGTTGGGCGGTCGGGTATGTATTTGAAAGGTGGGGTAGTGAGAGATTGAGGTTGAGGTCCAAATTCTGATTTTGCTGCTGGGTCGCCTGATCGTCAGCGAAGTTGTATGCCTACGGATACATGATTGTATAGGGGACCGGGTGCTCGTCAAGACGATAGCTTTCTTGCACTGCTCCCCACAGACGACGCCAAAATGATAGTGCTAATTGCCACGTAAAGCGGTAATTAAGAAGATATGAGACCAATTAAAGCAAATAAACAACTCTTATTGATCACAATGAAAGCCCTAAGTACAATCTACTTGGTTGCTCTGGGTACCGACTGACTGCGGTCGAGATTCTCTAATAACAACCTATCGATCGTCCAAAAGTTCCTCCCACTGTCGCTATCGCGGGTATTTATAGCCGCGGAGCCGGAGACACAAATCCGGTCGTTCGGCATGCTTCCCACATAGCAACCACGTGTCGCCTCTCTGGGTGCCCTGCCTGTCAATGCGTGGAGCCGTCACGTGTTCCTCGTCAGCTCTCTCGCTAAAGGGCTACCGCTCAGTGGTCGACACTGCTACTCGGAGATCCGACCGGGTTCTTCACAAGAAACCCGACCTGTTACCTGCAAAGACAAGAAGAAGAAGGACGAAGGCACACCGGTCGGGGTAACGCTTATGTCGGTCAGGGTATTCCCTACCAACCAATTAAAGCAAGTAAAACTCTTTTATTGATCAAGGTGAAGGTCTTAAGTACAATCTACAATGGCTATTTCGAGGGCCGACTGACTGCGGTCGGGATGCTCTGAGAATAGCCTATCGATCGTTCAAAAGACCTTCATACTGTTGCAACCGTGGGTATTTATAGCCGCTGGACCAGAGACACAAGTCCGGCTGTTCGGCATGTTCCCCACGTAGCAACTACGTGTCCTCCTCTCAGGAGCCCTGCCTGTCAGTGCGTAATGCCGCCACGTGTCTCTCTGCGGCTCTCTCGCCTAAGGGCCATCGATCGAGATTCAAAGGCATCGGTCGGGTGATGCCCGGTCGACAACCGACCGGGTTCTTCTAAGAGAGTCCGACCTGTAACTTGCATAAACAAGAATAAAAAGGCGAAGGCATGTCTGTCGGGGTATTCCCTACCAAGAGCCTCCCAGCCCGGGCCTTTTTGACCGTCCGGGAAAAAACAGGACGGGATGAAGAAGTCCAACCGTCCGCCGCCAAACCGACCGGCCAGCTGTCATTCCCTTGCACCACGTGTCGACCTCTGTCGGCCTCTGCGACCCCAACGGTCACCTCGGAGTTTGGAGCGGTCGCGTCATGCAAGTGGGTCGTTTCCCGCCCAAATGCTTTCCTATAATTAGGCCTTCATGGAGCTCATTTGAACTTTTACCAATCTTCCTGAATCGATCGGTGCAACCAGAGCGTCCCGAGTGAATACTTCAGCAAGTCAGTCGAGCAATCAGCTTTCAACTTTTCTTCGTCAAGTGCTCTCATTCGGTAAGTCCTTCTTTAGCTTTTTAGTTGCTTCTTTCATATTTGCTTTCCATAGCCAACTCTAGGCCTTAACCGACCATAACCGGGTCGTACCCGACCCTAACAACATCCCGACCACCCTTTAGGTAGTCACCATGTCGGATACTGATAGCCAGAACGCTTCGATCGCGGATTATGACGATGCGGTTGAGCAGATAAGCGAAGAAATAGACATCGAAGCATCCTCGTCGGAGGTCGTTCAATGACCGCGACAAGCCCCCGAGCAACAAAGGTCTTCGAGCTCGAAAGGGTCAACGAGCTCGAGCGAGTCGATCAGCTGCAGCGGCGAGACCTCTACAAGCAGGCAAAGTTCCCCGACCGGTGGCGTTCGGGAAACGCCTACCAGGATTATTGGGACTACCCTCAGGCCGCACCTCGGGTTGATGATCGAGAAAATACACCGGAGCCGGTCGAGGAGGACCCGGCCGCACCAACTGTCGATGGATTCGCATTCCTGAACAGGGATAGCGTGGAACAACAAATGAGTAAACTAACGAAAGGGGAAGCGGCCAAGATCGCTGCAAGGCTCAACGGTTGGGTGGAATTCGACACGAGCCGTCAGCTCGGGAATATCATCGATCGCCATCGGGAAAAGTGGATCGGGATGCATTTTGACTCCCTGATGGCCCCGATTGCCTTCCCCTTCCCGGCCCTCCTGACGGCATTCTTGGGCTACTACCAGGTCGTCCCGGCCCAGATCTGCCCGAACGCCCACAGGATCCTCGCCTGTTTCCCTTAGATTGCGCCCGGCACGAAGTGGCCTGCACGATAGAGCTTTTTAACTTCATCTATCACGTGAAGGTTCTCCCGGCCAAGTATGGAGGCGGGTTCCTAATGATTCAGTCCCGGGTAGATTTATGCTCGATCGACAACCTGCCCGGGAACAACCGGGGGTGGAAGAATAAAACTTTTTCGGTCAAGTATGACCCCTGGATCCTCCCGGTTGAGAGGTTGTGGAGCACCCATTATAAGAAACAAGTGATGCCGGTCGAGACTCATGCTCTCCAGGATGCCGTCGCCAAGATCTCGAGTGAGATCCACGAGTACAAGATCTTCTGCACGGCCGAGCGTTACGAGGAAGCCCGATTGCTCCTGTTGCAGTACGACTTAACGGAGAAGTACTTGCCCAAGCCGATGGGGGCGACAATTACAAGGGTGGCCGTTCGGGTCGAGACGGCAGATGAAGATCTAACACTAACCAATCATCCCCGACTCTAACTTCCCGATCACCCCATAGTCCCGATCTAACTATCTTTTCTTCTTTGTTTGCAGAAATGGCCGGCTTTGATGAAGAGGAAGCGCCCCAAGCCCCCATAACCAAGATCGTGCTTGGGAAGAAGAAACCCAAAACCAAGCTGGCCGGGGAGAAACGAATCCCGACCGCCCGACCGATGGGCGCATCAACGACTGTCACCACAGCCGAAGGCTATGTGTTCGACGCTTCGGACGTCCTTGTCACTCGGGTGACTGCCCCCAAGGGCAAAGAAAAGGCGTCCGAGAAAGAGGCGGAGGAGACCGGCGCGTTGAAACGTCGAAGAAACCAGCGGAGCCCGAGCCCTCCGGTCGGGGCTATCAAGGGCGACTCGTCTATCCTCACCCGGATCGGTAATGCCGGGCTGGTTAAGGAGGATATGACCCAACTCACCCCGACCCAGGTGGCTGAGAAGATTGACCACCGCCTGGCCGAGGTAAGAACTCTTCTTTCTTCGTTGTTTTCATACAAGTGTGTTTGCTCGGGCTAATCCCGATTGTCTTTTGTTCTGCAGATCTCCCGAGCGACCCAGCTCCTTCAACGCCGAGCACTGCTGGCCAATGAGGCCGATGCTTTGAAAAAGGTCGCCGATCGGCGACTAGAGGAGGCCAAAGACCTCCAGGCGGAGCTCAGGAAAGCTAAGGAGGAGCTCAAGAAGGCCAAAGAAGATTGGGACTTTTCTGAGAAGGTCGCCCAGCAGGCGGTCGGCGAAGCGGCTGAACTGATATCCCGACTGAACAACACGGGCGAGCTGGCCCAGTTTCTCTTCCGGGATATAGAGTCGGGCACCCAATTCCTCCGGGAGGAACTGGTCTGGACGTTTGGTCGATGGGCGTTTAAGTCCGGCCAACGAAGGTTGCGGGAGAGGACGCAAAAGAACATGGAGCAAGCGCTTGAGGGCGATGATCTCCAGTTGGTCTTAACGACCCTCCCAGCAGAAATTTCCGACCCCGGCTTGGCTCCTTTTTGCCGCGAGGATGAAGTCGCCGAGCGGAGCAGTGCTGCGAAGAAGTAACTAGGTTTTGCTTTCTTCTTCGTTTTGATGTAAGTGAACCTGATCGGGAGCCCGGTCCCGCTTTTGTACCGGGCACATTTTAACAAATTAATGAAATTCCTTTTTTAGTCCATCTCATCTTGCTCGGTTTATTTTAATATGTTTTACTTTTAACTGCTTGTACGTCAGTCGTTCATTGCCCGACCCTTTGGCCTAATGGTCCGGTCGTGCGTGTCTCGACCGAATGGCCTTTTGTCGAACTTCTTGGCCTACCCGTTCGGGGTTTTCCCTACCGTTCGGCCTTGTCGAAAATTTGAAAAATATTTTGAAATTTTGGCCTTCTCGCTCGGGGCGTTCCCGAACACTTGGCCTTGTACACTTCCTTCATCCTAGCCCCCACATTGTTGTGCGCACGAGGCACGAGTGAGTGCGACAATGGAAAGAAGTTGGACGGATCGGGAAAATTTTGCCGTAGCTCTGGCTTTCCCAATCGGTGGCGTGACCCGAGTGTCCGCCAAAGATGAGCGCAATAGACAGTCGTAAGATTTCGACCGGCCATGTAATAGGTGGCTATTAGAGCCAAATAGGTAGACGACTATTAGAGCCATTGAAGTATATGGCTATTAGAGCTAATTTGTTGCACACCCCTATCGGTCGGAACCGAGGGAGAGGTGTTGTGTTGGGCGTGAACCCCGTCTTCATTGTTGATGCCGAGGCTCGATCGGGTGGGTTTCGAGCGCGACTGGTTGGGGAAGCAGATTCAAAATAACCTATTTCATGGTAAGAGAGTTAAAAAACCGATCGGGCCGCCGTATGCAAACGGCCGAGCAATCACCGATCGTAGTTACATTGAGAATTCCCGTTTGCAGACGGTTGAAAATATTTACAGCAAATAATTTACAAACATTTGAACGACGAACAGAGCCCACTCGCAGGTTGAGTCCCCACTTCGTCAATAATTACAATAAACAGGCTAATGCCTAAATAAAACGAGGTGCTCGAAATTCCAAGTGCCCTCGATCTGCCTACCGGACGTCGTTTCCAGTCGGTAGGTTCCCGGCCGTATTACAACGGTGATATCATACAGCCCTTCCTAGTTTTGAGCTAGCTTTCCTCCTTCCAAAGGTTGACTGGCTTCCCATCGGCGTAGGACGTAATCCCCGACCTGAAAGTACCGAGGGTTGACCCTGACATCCTTCGAACTTTTCACTCGCTTCTGGTACTCGGCCATACGCCGAGCGGCTAGCTCCCTCTTTTCTTCAACCCCGTCGAGATCCACGACCATCGAGTGTTCGTTCTCTTCTGCATTGTAGGTCCGTTCTCTGACAGTCGGGATCCATGCCTCGATCGGGAGTCGAGCATCGGCCCCATAGACAAGGGCAAAAGGCTTCTCCAAAGTCGCTTCCCTCGGGGTCGTTCGATAAGTCCACAGAACATAAGGTAACTCTTCAGCCCAACTACGACCTGCCGAGTGTAACTTCTTTTTCAGACCTTCCAAGATTGTCCGATTAGCGTTTTCTACTTGTCCATTTCCCTGTGGGTAAGCCACCAACGACCGGATGTGGGTTGTCCCGATCGTGGCAAGAAAGTTCTGGAAATACTGACTTATGAATTGCCGGCCGTTGTCGCTGATGAGATGCACGGGCACACCAAACCGGGAAATGACATTGCGCCATAGGAACCGGGCGCATTGTTGAGAGGTGATCGTGGCTAACGGCTCGGCCTCGATCCATTTGGAGAAATAATCGATAACGACAATGACAAACTTTCTCTGACCGGCCAATTGCGGGAATGGTCCCAAAATATCCACCCCCCACCTTGCGAAAGGAATTGCAGTTGTGACCGGCTGGTAGAAGGTAGCCGGTCGTCCGGGCATCCGAGCGAACAACTGACACGTCTCACAATCCCGAGCAAGCTTCTCATAATCTAACTGGAGAGACGACCAATAATAGCCGATCAACATGATTCGACGAGCCAACGATCAGCCTCCTTGATGCGATGAGCAAATGTCCGAGTGCAATACCTTTATCACCAAATCAGCTTCGAACGCGGTCAAGCAGCGCATGAGAGGTCCTCCATACGACCGCCTATACAAACGACCGTCTTGGATTTGAAATCTTGGAGCTCTGAGCTTGGCCTTCCGAGCACGCTGAGGGTCGTCTGGGAGCCGACCGTGCTCGAGGAATTCCATCAGATTGGTGATCCAGTTATCTTCTGCCTGTTGAATAGGTGCGACCGGCAATCGATGAATACTGTGCTTCGGGATCACCAAAATCCGAGCGATCTTTGACATATGTTCCGGGGCGTCTTGAGCCAACTTGAACAAGATGTCTGCATCGGCATTATTCAATCGGGGTACGTGTCGAACTGTATATCCCCGGAACAAGGCGAGCTTCTCCATTGCGAGGTCCTGGTAGGCTTGTAATCGCTCCCCGTTCACTTCATAATCTCCCAGGACCTGTCCGACTACAAGTGCAGAATCTGTTTAAGCCTGGATATACTCAGCCTCCAAATCCCGAGCATATTGCAAGCCATTGACAAAGGCTTCATACTCGGATTCGTTGTTGGTCGGGTGAAACTGATACATTAAAGAGAAGTAGACCTTGAATCCCTCCGGGCTTGTAACAACCACTCCTTCTCCTGCCCCCTTCTTACTGCTAGACCCATCTGTTGCCAACGACCACCACTCCGCCTCGGGGTCCTCGACCTCCGGAGGTCGGGTGTTTCGAGCAGTGCACTCGATCAAGAAATCTGCAAGGACTTGACCTTTGATGGCTGGTCTTGGTCGATATTCGATCGCATAGTGGGTTAGCATTAACGCCCACTTGACTAGGCGACCGGACGATGAGGCAGTGCGGAGGACCGGGCCGATCGGCTGATCGGTTAGCACACGAATGACTCTACCTTGAAAGTAGGGAGCTAGCTTCTTCGCGGCGATATACAAGGCGTAGACGACCTTCTCTAGCCGGGAGTACCGGAGCTCGGGACCATGTAGCGCGTGGCTTACATAGTACACCGGTCGCTGGACCCCTTCCGGATCAGTTCGACACAATATTGCGTTTACTGCTCGATCGGATACGGCGAGGTATACGTCTAACTCTTCTCCGAGCTCTGGCTTCGACAGCACAATTGGTGACATAAGATATTCTTTCAGCTCGTCGAAAGCCGCTCGACACTCGTTATCCCAAACAAATCCGTTCACCTTGCGCAATACCTTGAAGAATGGTAGAGCGCGCTCGGCTAATTTGGAGAGGAAACGGCTTAAAGCGGCCAACCGACCGGTCAACTGCTGGACCTCTCGAACGGTAGTAGGGGGCTGCATGTCCAGAATCGCTTTGACCTTGGCCCGGTTGGGCTCGATCCCCCTCCTGATTATCATATAGCCGAGGAACTTCCCGATTTGAACCACAATTGTGCACTTGGTCGGGTTCAATCTCAGCTGATACCTCCTCATAATCTTAAAACATTCCCGGAGGTCCCGAGTGTGGTCGGATCGGTCTCGACTCTTGACCAGCATATCATCAATGTACGCCTCCATCGTTCGGCCTAATAGATCAGCGAAGAGCATATTGACCATTCTCTGATAGGTCGCTCCCGCGTTGCGGAGGCCGAACGGCATCACTCGGTAGCAATACAGCCCGTCCGGGGTCACAAAAGCTGTTTTGCTTTCGTCTTCATGATGCATCATCATTTGGTGATATCCTTTGAAAGCATCATCCATGAAGCTCATTAACTCGGCCCCGGCCGTCTCGTCGACCATTTGATGGATACTCGGGAGCGGATACGGGTCGAGCGGACAGGCTTTGTTAAGGTCGGTGAAGTCTATGCACATCCTCCACGCTGGGAGCTTCGGAACAAGAACAATATTTGCCACCCACTCGAGATAGATCACCGGTCGGATGTGCTCGATCGCCGCCATCTTCTTGTCCTCTTCTCTGACAAACTCGCAAGCGATCGGAAGATAAATGCCGCGTCTTCTGGACGACTGGCTTGGCTGCGGGATCGACGGCAAGCTTGTGACAAATGATCGTTCGGTCGATCCCGGGCATGTCCTCGCCCCCCCCCCCCTCCCACGTGAAGAAATCAACAAATTCGCGAAGAATTGCTAACACTTCTGATCGTAGCTCGGGGGTAAGGGCCCGGCCTATTTTAATCTTCCTATCCGGTCGGTCCTCGGACAAGGGAACTTCTTTAACCTCTTCGGAAGGCTCGGGTTGTTCATTCCGGTCACTGGTTGCCTCCTTGACGATCGTGTTCACCCGGGAAGACGTGCCAGTATCACGCTTATTAACAGCCCGAGTATAACACTTCCTCGCAGATTGAACATCTCAGCGAACGACGCCCACCCCATTAGGTGTGGGAAATTTCATGCATAGGTGGGGCATGGAAATTATCCCACCGATCTTCATTATTGCTGGTCGGCCTAAGATGATGTTGTGAACGCAGTGCAGATTGACCACAACAAACTCTAACTCGGTCTTGACAGACTTGGGCGGAGTGCCTATCTCGACCAGGAGAACAATTTTTCCTTCGGGGCGAATGAGGGCCCCGGTGAATCCAGACAATGGTACACCGACCTGAATCAGCTCGCTTTTGTCCATATGAAGCTTTTCAAACACGTCCAAATAAAGGACGTTCACACTGCTCCCCGTGTCCACCATAACCCTCTGGACATCGGTCCCATTTACGTCGATCGTGACCACGAGGGCTTCCAACCCGTGGTCACCACTGTTGGGCTGATCCTCCAAGGTAAAGGTTATGTGCTCCATCTTCTGTCTTTTTCCGATATCATGGGAGTCTACGATCGTGACCGGGCAGTTCTCCCTCGGTCGGGAAGTGTCATCCAATCCACCAAAAATCACGTGGATGGTCGGCTTGCCTGCCGATCGGCTGTTAGATGGAGGGTCGGGGTCCCGGCGGTCATCCCTGTGGTCATGACCCGACCGATCTGAACGTTCAGCACGATCGGAGCGATCAGAGCGGTGATGAGAACGTCGATGATCTCTCCGATCGGTATTCTTCTTCGCTTCTTCTCTCTTCCCCACACACTTATCTAGCT